GAGATAACTTTTGTCTCCCTCAACACTACAATTACATTGGACTCTGTTAAGTGTTGTGTCTTGGTAGACCCCACATCACAACAATAACAATTAACAAGGCATTTAAATTTTTGAAGATCAAAGTTGACTGAAAAGCAAGAGGCTAGAAGAGAATATCCATGAGCTTGAAGTGTGAGAGAAGATACCGTTAGCCCCAAAAGTCAAAAGAAGTCACACTTCTGGAAGTTAGCATCAGCCATACTGATAGAAGGTAAAAAAAAGGTTCTCTCAGACAACTAGTTATGGGAGATTGATTTGCCTAGATATTATATACTCTCTTCATAGATGTAAGCTAATGATATTTTGCCTACATATTTGGTAATTGGACAGACCATCAGATACAGTTGATTCATACCATTTAAAAGAGCATCAGTGTTAAATATGTGTTCACAACCTCAATTAGAACTTGAATTTTATTCATTGATTCCATACTATTAATCGATACACCTCCAACTCTGACATGATTATACAAGTATATATATTAGAAAATATATATAAAAATATATATTGGAGAAACATTCTCAAATAATAATAAACAATACATACATTGGTTTTACAACCACTACATTATTGCACTGATTAATATGTCATTTATCTGATAATAATTCAATTAAATCACCTATCACCAACCAAGAAAAAAAAACACAAGAAATCTGATGAATCCTTATCAATAACACAAAAACACTATATCACTGTTTGGTTTATTTTGTTTTACAGCATCTCAATTTTAATTGGTTATTTAATGCTGATGAGATTTTTATTTCTGGTAATATTTTTTTCCTTCAAAAATTCATTGCTGGTAATATTTTTGTTTATTCAAAAATGTATTGCTGGTAATAATTTTTTCCTTCAAAAATTCATTACTGGTATTAATTTTTTACAAAAATGTATTGCTGGTACTAAAACCTATTTTTACACTTTCATAGTGTTTTGACCCCAATTTGGGGTTAACTATTTGCCCATAGCTAGGACCCTAACAGGTGCTACCACCCCGGGTCAGGGTGGACCTGGGAACACCAGCAATTAAGAGGTGGTTCCATGCTCCTCAAAACTCCTGATCAGAGGCCTTGCTGTCAGAAGTAGTTTATCGTCATACCCAAGATGGACATAAACTGTAAGAAATGACTACAAATATTGGAAGCATTAAACAAAATATACTAAATACATACATTTTATAAATACATAACAATATAAACTGTCATGTAAAGACACAAAGATGCAATATTTGAACATGACGAAATTGATAAAACACAAAAGAACAAAACTTTTCTGAAAACTGAAAATACTCAGACAATAATGGATAATTTATATTTAAATATGTACCAGAAATAAGGTTTAAATTGTTTAATTATAGAGAAATAAATTTAAAAAATCCTTAATAAAGAACTTTCATTGGTATAAAACCTGTAGAAAAATATATAGGGAATATTATATATACATTTTATATATCAAAACAGTGTTAGGTAAATTAATGACAAAGTGGAAAGAAAAATACACAGAATTTTTTCCACTTTGTCATTAATTTGCCTGATAAAAGTATAGATAAATATGTTGTGCATGGATAATGGATATGAAACATCAAAGTCATTTAAAAGTGAATGAAACATACAATAACATAAATATATGAAAAGTTCAAATAAAACACAAAAGTCCTTGTGTAAAAACACTTGCATATATATATATATATATATATATATATATATATATATATATATTCAAAATTCTTAATACAATGTTAGTATATATCTACTTTCAAAAGACTATATACCAAAAAACAAATGAATTTTTGTACTTGTATCTGTTTGGTTTGTCAATGTTTTACTTGATTCCTTTGTTTTCCACATGTGGGTCCTAACTAAAATGGCCTCTCAGCCCTTTCTGTGTAAGTTGCTATTTATCCAGTTGAAGAGATCTCAAAGGGAGCAACTTGTAAAGATTAACCATTCTTCCCCTTTTTTTCTTTTTCAATGTGCTCTGCTACCAATGTAAATTCAAATTAAAGGAACTCGGACAGATAATGGAAAGAGAATGCTTTATTTGGACTCCTTGGTTCCCCAGATGTGTACCCTATCTAAAATGAATGCTCAGCCCCCTCCAGGTAAACCATCCCCTTTCTGGTTAAAGAGTTTCCAAGGGAAGCAACTCCTGAAAATTAACAACTGATATATTCACTGCCAATGTTGACTGAATTCACTGCAGTAAAAATGAAAATTCAATGTCAATTTAATCATCTTAATTAATATCATCTTAATCCCTGTTTCTTTGTTGTTCTTTATCTTTAATAGTTTTATTTTCTCATATTCTCTAACACTCAGTAACTCTTGTGGCTTTATTGACTTGTTTGAGGTGAAATTATATATATATATATATATATATATATATATATATATATATTTTGGAGGAATCATATTACATAACATTTCAGTACTCTTTTCTTTGTTTTTAACAACTTTTTTTCTGTTTCTTAATACCTTTACCTACTTATCTAAAATGACTTTTTCTTTTCATTTCAGGTAAGTACAAATTATTGGAGATGATGGGTTCAGTGTACAGGTAAAATAATTTTGTGACTTCTTACATAAGATCTTTTTAGATGAAGTTATTGTTTTAACTTGGGTATGATTGATAATTCCTCACTGAAAATGTTAAATATTTATGAAAAGCTTCATGTGTTGGTTATAAGTATTGATTTTTTTTTCCCTCATAAATTATTTATCTAACAGCTTATCTCATCTACCTTATCAGTGAGAAAAAAATGCCATGCCAATATTTGGCTTACACAGGACAACTCTTAAAATATATTTCTACCTTTTCAAGTTGTACAATAGGTCCTGTGGTCAGAAGTAATCATTTCTTCAAACTATTTTTTATGTTACTATAAATTAAACACTCCAGATCAACATTTTTTCAATTTTATAAAATATGTTAGTGGGGTTCAATGAAAACAAACAACACAAATAAGGAACCTTTCCATGCTGCACAATTCCGTAAAAATTTCTGCTGAAGCAAAATAGGGAAATATATTAAAGAAATAATTTATAAAGTTTGAAAGTTTGGTAAATCTGACCATGAAAAAAAGTCCTAGCATCTAGTTTTTATCTATCATCTTCTTCTAGACACCCTTAAACAGTTATTAAATTTGGGAAATCTAATATTTGCTTTATGCTTCTTTTTTCTTTCTTTCTTTTTCTCATTAAAACCAAACAGCATTATAATATGATTCTATTGAAAATAAATATAAACATTTGGGGGTAGATTTGCACAAAGTCACTGCAACCAGAAATAATCATTTTTTTCCAATATTATTTTCCTCCGACTTAGATTTAAACACTTAAATATTTCTTATACTTAAATTTTATAATTTTTATTCAAAAATTGTAACATCACTACAAAAAATAGCCATTTTGTTTTCACACTTCTGGTGTCTTATCAAGTGATGGTGTTGATTGCGAAATAAAGTATTTATAAACTCTTTATTTCACAATCAACACCATCACTTGAAATATTTCACTCTTTATTTTGCAATCAACACCATCATTTGATAAGACACCAGAAATGTTGAAACAAAATGGCTATTTTTGTAGTGATCTTATAACATGCTTATGTTATAATTTTTGAATAAATATTATATGCTCTACTTTGTATTGAGCATTTTTTAAAAAATAGTGGTTTTGGTTATTGGAATTTTATTCTATCTATACCAACCCTGTATTTGGATACTTAAATTTTATTGGAGTTAATAAGTGGATGTCCTGTTTGCTATATAAATTCATTGTAAATCAATTCCTCTTTGGAAGCCAAAACAAAATACAGTCATACAACATTGTTACTTAAAATGAAAGAGAAATTAAAAAGTTTTTTGAAGTTCATAATATGGTGTGTATAATCAGTAGTAATATATGAAAGATGCACTCCAAATTCCAATTTTAAAACAAAAGTTTATTGTTTTATATTTTAAGAAATCATGTGGTATGAGCATATTTTGTTTTGGTTTCTGTATGAAAATCAATTTACATAAGAAAAACTGAACCCCACTAACATATTTTATAAAATTGAAAAAATGTTGATCTGGAGTGTTTAATTTATAGTAACATGAAAAATAGTTTGAAGAAATGATTACTGGTCCCAAATTAGAGCCTGTGTTAATGTATATAAAATAGACCAAACCCGGATATAAGAGAAACCCGGATATAGAGATTTTTCTTCTCCGGTCCTGACAATTTTCTGGTCCCAAATTCTTATATAACCCGGATATAAGAGATCCGGTCCTCCTTATATCCCTACACTGTATAAGTTTATTGTATTTTCGTTTTCATTTTCTCTAAAACCTTGTCGTTGCTCACTTGTTCGGTCCATGGTATCCTCAACATTTTTCTGTTTTGGAACTTGACTCTTTGATTAACAATTCTGAGTCATTATCCACACATCCAAGCTTACAGCACATAGTGTTCCCAAGTGGTTATCCATCTAGGTACTAACAAGTCTCGACATTGCTTAACTTTGGTGATTGTACAAAAACTGATGTTTCAATGTGATGTAGGCATAAGCCCACCAGTACAGGATATGGTATTATGATGGATAGAGTATGTATTTCAGAGGACAAGTGATTGACCGCTTTAAAAAATTAATTTGTACAGTAAAAACTTAGTGTTTAAAGCCTCATCCATCATTCTTGACTGGAGAATCCATCCCTATATATAAGACAAAAATGAATGAAATTAATTCACAATCAATAGTGAAATCTGTTTGATTGTGTTGTCATTTGCAGCTGATGTAATTTATCTTGGTTAATACTATTGAATGAATTGAGGTAACAGTGTAGTCTCTTGCTGAAATCTTCTTAACTGAAATGGTTGGGCTTATACTGAGTTCAGAAGCAATAAACAGAGACTTAACAACAACAACAAAAAAAAGGTAAAAATATTTTTGAACAAATGACAACCAAGAATTTGAGCTTTAGAATGTTGTGGTTGCTGTCATTTTCAGTCTTTCCTTTCAGCAGGAAAGTGTCCAAGAAAGTAGAATTAGGATGTCAGCCATGCCAAGATGACAGATTTTACAAAAGGTCTTGATGCGGAGTCAATTAAATTGTAAAGAGTATTAAGGTTATGTTCTTTGAAAGAGTAACACTGACATGTGATCAACTTTGAAGGAAAACTTGTAACTGATATATCATCAAGTCTCTATTGATTTTTCTCTCTTTTCATTGTCTTCCACCCTTTCCTTGCTTTTCCTTCCTCCCCCCTCTCTCATTCTCTTTTGTTTTACTTTCCTTTATTTCTCTCACCATCTTGCTTTGCACCCCCCCTTTGTCTCTCATTCTCACTTGCTTTTTCTCCTGTTTGCCTCACCTTCTCTTACTTTACTGTCTCTCTTACACTACTTATTTCTTTCTGTCTTACTCTCTCTTGCATTCCCAACTTTTATCTGCCTCACATCTTGTTGCTTTCCTTCCATATCTTTTAAACTCCCTTTTGCTTACCATTCATGTCTCTTACTTTCCCTCTTGCTTTCTATCCATGTCTCTCACACTCTCTTGCTTCCCTTCCTTTATTTCTCTCTTGTTTTAATCCCTTTTGTCTCTCTAATCCTTTCTTTCTTGCTTTCCTTCTTATTTGTCACAACTTCAATTGCATTTTTGGCTTGCAATACTCTTTCTTACTTTTCCTCCCATTTTTTTCTCAACTACACTAGCTTTCTCTCTTTTTGTCTCTCTCACCTTCTTTTGCATTATCTTCCATTTTCTCTCTCATCCATCTTTACTTTTCCTCTTTTATTTCTCTCACTTTTGTATGCCATGTTAGATTATTTTGTATATAACAAATATAATTTATGAATAATTTGAGAGCAATTATACTTACACACACACACACACACACACACAGGGTGCAATGGGTAAATTGTCACCATTTTATATTTTTAATTTTGTGCATGCACGTTGTTTGTTTTTGATTGTCAACTGCGCAGTATAGCAGGGTCAGTTGGGCACCATCTGTGAGTAAAAGAGCAGTATGACACAATTCACTGTGCCACAAATTTGGAAACAGCATGCTGTACTGCTTGGCATTTGTGCCAGACGCTCCAAAACAAACATTTCAGTGTGTTTGGGTATCAATCTGAGGACAGTGTAAAGGATTTGGAAAGAGTTAGGTGAGTCTAATGGTGATTACAAAAGTGTTGGAGTGATCGCTAGTGATGGGAATGTTATGCCTCCATTCATTTTCCCAAAGGGCCTCAAACTCAACATGGAGGCCATTAGGAGGCCTTTAGGAGGTAGTGCTACCCTGGGTCAAGAGGCTGGCTTCTGGAAGACCTTATGTCTGGCAACAGGACTCTGCACCATGCCACAAAAGCAGGAGAACCCAGTCATGGCTGTTGAGACAATTGATCTGACCACCTAACTCCCAAGACTGCAACCCCCTTGATTATTATGTGCACAGTTGAGTGAGAGACCAACAAAACTCCTTGTATCACCAATGATGAACTGAAGACAAGGATTTTAGTAGTATTCACCAACTTAAACAAGGAGACTGTCCAGAAGAGGTGCAGGAGATTGTGAAGTTGTCTGGAGCCCATGGTTTAAGGCAATGGCAATTTTATTGAATAAAAGTAAATTTATTTCAAGATATTTTTGTGTAAATTTGGTAACTATATCTGTTAAAATGAGATGTCAGTATTATTTTCATTTTTGCCTAATTTACACGACAATTTATCCATCGCTCTTATATCTTACTTATTATAAAACGCAGATTGTGTGTGTGTGTGTGTGTCTGTACGTTTATATATTGGATCGGATTTCCTACATTTCTCAACCAATTTCAACAAAGCTTCACAGGACTACATAGAATTACCTTGCGGTGGTTCTGACAGTGCCAAAAATTGAAAAAACACAATTGTTTTTGCATGAAATCAATTTGAAAACACGATAAAACATGATTCTGTCGCCATAATGAAAGGGGGACAACTCATCTCGCGTTATACTTATTATAAAACCCAGGTTGTTTGTTTGTTTGTGTGTGTGTGTGTGTGTGTGTGTTCCTTTATATATGGGATTGGATTTCCTACATTTTTCAACCGATTTCAACAAAACCACTTTTTTTTTTTGGCATGTAGTGTTTCTTATTGTCTTGCACACTTTTTTCTTTATTTTTACATTCAGAATGCTTTAAAAATTTCATTTACAAACAATTGTTTATAATAAAATTCTATTCAATCGGTAGACTCATAACAATTGAAAACAATGTTTTTGTTTGAGTTTGGGTTTGACCAATTCGTAAAAAAAAAAAATAATTAAGACATGTGTGTCCGTCAACCTTAAACAATAATCTTTGTCAATTTTATTTTACAGTCTTTATGATGGTCGATACTTGATCTATCTCTTACTGTTACATTCCCTGGCAACGCCGGGCTCTACTGCTAGTATATATATATATATATATATATATATATATATGTTTATGCTTTTTTTGCAGTTTTTTATTTCCTTCATATTGTAATGAACTTGTAGCATATAGGAGAACTATGAGTTAAAAAAGGAAAACATGGGATCTTTTCTCAATCTTCACTCAGAGATGGACGTGACACAGGAGAGTCAGTGAAAAACAGACACAAGACAATGGATTTCAAAATTTTCTTTTGGGGTGCTTTTTAGTCTTATGCCTATATAGCTAATGAAAATGTAGGTACATCACAATATACATATACTTTCATTTATGCATCTTTTGATAGTAATTTGTCTTTGATCATAAATATGTTGCCATATCTTAACAAGGAAATGCACATAAAATATCCATTTAAATGAGATAACCAAAAAAATTTTAATAACTGCCTTTTCATATTTACTTTGCATGATGCAAGACAAATGGGATTTTAAAGGGTGGGGCGGGGAGGAAGGCTGCACTTCAACAGTATTTTCTAGTGAGGAGGTACTACTAGTTTCAAATATCAACACTGGGACTCCTCACTGTTACCACAGCAATTTGTCATTGGTAGCAAAGACAAACATTTTAATCTCATGAAGACCTCCAAATACTTGCTTCTCAACTTAAAAAAATATTGCCATCTTCTTCCATGTTTCAGGACGTTGGTGATCATGACTCTCCACAATTTCCTGTCCTTTGTAGTGCTTAATAAATTTTGTCTTTTAGTTATCTCTCCTAAACCATCCATTTACTTAAGCTCACTAGTTTGGTTATATGTTGTTTTTCTCTGTCCTTTGGTCAATCTATCCTGTGAGTATCAAGTTTTGCAAGCCTTCTTTCTTTATTATCTGTGCCAAGAATTTCAATGATCTCTTCTTGATGTTAAGTATGTGTCCTTTTCATTTCTATATTCTCTAAAACTTCATCATTGCTAACATGTTTGGCCCATGATATTCTCAGCATCTTTCTGTAGAACCACATTTCTGTTGCTTTAAGCATCTTCTTCATTTGAGAGGAGATTGTCCAGCATTCATTGCTATATAGAACTGATAACAAAATTCTAACAAAATTTCTGTTTCTTAATACTTTGCCTAGCTTTTGGAAGGCACCTTTTGCTATCCCAAAGCGCCTTTGAATTTCACTGTCGCACTTCTCAGATATTTAAAATTGTTGTACTTGTTTAATTTTGTTATAGGTTCTAGATTATTCTAACATTCTTCCCCAAAAATATTAGAAACTTTAAGGAACTATATATAAAAAAGAACGCAAGACTTATTTTTTATTAAATATATTTTCAATAAAAATAAAAAGTTGTACTGATATTTTGATGGCTAACCATGTAAGGCTAGAAGCACCATAATGTGCCTACCACAAATGTAATCTACTTACAATGTGGATGTACCTGAATATATCCACAGTTGGGTAGCACTGTATTACAAGTGACATCATTAACACACATTACATGACCAACTAGCAATGCCAGAAATCTACAATTTTCTTTAAACTTTGTAAATGTTGCAGATTTAGAATGTAGACTAGAACTTATGGATAAATCTAGCAATTTCAATAAAATGATGAGACCTAACTGCCAATCTAGTAGTACACTTAAATTCATGAAGTTGAGATAGTAAAGAGGAAAGCTCAGAACAAATGCCATGAAAGTATTTCCAGAAAAGGTACAGAGAAGCTACATTCCAGTAGTGAGAAAGTGGTTGAAGCCAAGATGCCTGGTCAGTACCAATAACATTGCACATACTTCTTTGGATTTTGTTAAGAATTTCTTGATACATAGAAGCAACAGACCAGATGTGTCAATAGTATTCAGTAATGGACAAAGTGTAAACTTATAAATGTACAGATAGATTCTGGCAAGAAATATTGCATAGTACTTTATAGTGAACTAACTTTCCTAGCAAAAGTTGACAGGAAGGCAGGAAACCAGAAGTGAGTTCCACAAGAAAGAGAGATAATTATTAGCAGAGAACTTAGTTACAACTATCAAATTCGATATTGAAATTATGAGACCTAGCTGCCAATCTAGTACTGTGTATAAGTTTGTGAAGTCAAGATGCCAATGAAGAAAGTTCATCAGAACAATTACCATGAAAATAATTTTAGAATAGACAAAGAGAATCTGTGGCAGTAAGAAAGTGCCTGAAGCCAAGATGTGAGATCAGGACCAAATGATGTGGCAGATTTTTCTTGGGTTTTTGTCAAGAATATAAAACAGAAGCACCAGACCAGTTTTGGCAGCAATATTTGATACAAGCACACACACATGTGACCGTTAGGGTGAGGACCATAAAGTCTGGATAAATAGGTAAGAGTCTGACTGAATGACAATTTCCCTAACTGGATTGGGAGATCTGGCCATGTGGAATAAAAATCACAGAATTGAATCATCTGATGGAATGCATCAGGAATGAATGTGCTCAAATTGATGGAAATGTGGAGTTACTGAATTGGGTTCATATGAATCAAGTACATTAAACTTGGGCGGAAACCAGGTTGAAAATATTTTTCATTAATGTTGTCAAATAAAATTATTGGAAAAATGCATTTTACCCATGTGTCCAAACTTCATAGTCATCATATATATATATATATATATATATATATATATATATATATATATATATATGCACACATACCTTCGCTTCTAACAAAACAAATGGGATCAAATATTCACAAGAACAGTATGATTTTGATGGAATATATGTTTACCAGGGTCAATTTCATATATATATATATATATATATATATATATATATATAGGCAGCATTTTTTCATTAATGCATGCTTTGTTAAATAATATAGACAAGTTTTGTCTATTTATTTTAAGTAAATTCCATTGTTGAATAAGCTTTTTAGTATTATCACTGAAACACAAAAGAAAATCATTATGTTGATACATGTTTTATTGTTAATCCTGTCTAAGCTTTCAGCTTACATAAGCTATCATCAGCGATTACAAGTACATTGCAATAAATTAAATAATAAATCAAATAACATTAAATAAATTAAATAAGTAAATTCCTTTCATATTGTCAAATAAACTTTTTAGTATTATCACTGAAACACGGAAGAAAATCATGATGTTGATACATGTTTTTATTGTTAATCCTGTCTAAGCTTTCGTCTTACATAAGCCATCATCAGAAATTATAACTACATTACAATAAATTAAATAATAAATTACCATCTTTGTTATTTAATTTATTATTTAATTTATTGCAATGTACTTGTAATCGCTGATGATGGCTTATGTAAGCTTAGACAGGATTAACAATAAAACATGTATCAACATAATGATTTTCATTTGTGTTTCAGTGATAATACTAAAAAGCTTATTTAACAATATGAAAGGAA